CCGTCTGGAGGGCCCCAAAGCCCCAGATCCCGGGAGCCCAGTTTTTTGGGGGGACGGGTTTTCCCCCCGCCCGTGCTTGTGAAAATATAGGAAGAGGAATATATATATATATTATATATATATATATATATATATATATATATACATATATATATACACATACACACGTGTGTGTAGATATACATACATATTATGTCCATATCCACCGCCCGCTTGGGCACCAGGACGTCGCTTTTCAGGCGGTGGATGTGGACAAAGCCCTGCCTCGCACTGAAGGGGTCGAGGCGTTCGCGTGGAGGGTGCACGCCTCGGGACCGGGCAGCGATGCGATCGGAGGTGCGGCTCTGGAGCGCCACTGGCGGCGACCAGCTCTTCGCCCTGCCGCGAGCGGGCGCGGGCGCCCTGTCGCTCGGTCGCACGGGCGGCGGCCGCCTGCGCGTGGCGCTGGCGGCCGCCGGCGCCGTGGAAGTCCACGAGCTGGCAGGCAGGGCCGCCTACGACCCGATTCGATGCGACTCGATTCCCTGAGACCCTCCTCCTCGTCCTCCTCCTCCATGTTTGTATTCTTCCTCCTCCTTATCCTCTTGTCTCTTCCTCCCCTCTGCCTCCTCATCCTGCCTCTTCCTCCTCCTCCTGGCGTCGTATTCATTTCGCAACCGGCGATTCTGCCCGGTTTCGGGCTCCCAGACCCTCACAGGTCGATGTGACTCGAAAAGTGAAGCAGCAAGATAGGATTTGTTGTTTTGCTTTTGTTGTTGCGATGTTGCGTTCTTGAGCGACGTTCTATCTGAAGGTTCGCTGGCTTGGGCCGCCACCATTCCGACTCGCATCGGCTCGGCTTCATTTGCGGGCATCGGCTGGGGGCGAGCTGGAGCCGGGTGCGGCGATCCGACCTCGATAATCGAGGCTCGATTCGATCGGAGGGCGATTCGCTGGCGATCCTTTCCGCTTTCGATCCGGTACGATTTCGCGATTCGTATCGGCGCAGGCCTGACGGGCGGCGCGTCCGCCAGCGCCGCGCTCGGGAGCAACGAGAGCAACGCGTCCTCCAACGTGTCCTCCGCCCTGGCGGCGCGGCTCGTCTGGGTCAACGGTTCCTTCAGGATCGACCAACAGACAAACGGCACCTCCCCAGTTGCGGCCCTCCATTTTGCGCTACGGCCCATCGGGCGCCGTAGCGTATACCATGCAAAAACCCTCGCCAGACCTCCTGGTATACGCTAAGCCTCGTGGGGCCGTAGGTGGGGTGGTGCCGATTTTTTCTGGTCCACAGGAGCGAGGACGAGGCGGCGAACCTGACTGGCCTGGAGGGCCCAGCCAGCGTGGTCGACCTGCGGTACCCGAAGAGCAAACAAATGCATAGACATCAGAGTGAGGGGGCCGAACGGTCATTCACTGTCCTTGGGTGCGTGGCTGAAGTGGGGTTTCGCGGTGCAGGTTGTTGTTGTTGTTGCTGCTGTTGTTGTTATTGTTGTTATTGTTGTTGAGGTTGTTGTTGCTGCTGCTGCTGCTGTTGTTGTTGTTGTTGCTGTTGTTATCCGTAAGGGCTTCGCCCCATGCCGCCGGCCCCCTGTCTCGGATAATGGGAGATGCAAAAGCTAAATCATGAGGTCTGGGCGCCGCCGTGAAGCAGTGTCCGGACCTGTTTGTTTTTCGACCCTGACCCTACGGATCTGCGTCACGGGTGCCACCGGATTTCAGAAATGTGGCAAATCCGTTGTGTTTTTGGACCCTGACCCTACGGATCTGCATGAGGGGTGCCGCCGAATTTGAGAAATGTTGCAAATCACATGTGTTGTGGACCTTTGGACCCTGACCCTGCCGATATTTCAGTGAGGCGTGCCGCCGAATGTAAGAAATGTGGCACATCCCATGTGTTTTTGGACCCTGACCCCGCCGATCTGCGTGAGGGGTGCCAGCACATCTGAGAAATGCCGCAAATCCTATTTGTTTTTGGACCCTGACCCTACGGATCTGCGTCAGGGGTGCCAGCGAACTTCAGAAATGTGGCGAATCCCATATGTTTTTGGACTCTGACCCCACCGACCTGCGTGAGGGGTGGCAGCAAATTTCAGAAATGTGGCACATCCCATGTGTTTTTGGACCCTGACCCCGCCGATCTGCATGAGGGGTGTTAATTTGTATCCACCCCAGCAATTCAGACAACACGCTCAGGGCGTGGAAAACATGTCCGTTTTTGGCCTCCCCCCAAACAAGGAACAGTAAGCAGCAAGAAGCAGATTTGTAACAGTGGAAACTGGAAGCTGCAACTGGCACAGGAAACTGCGAACCTTAGCCCTACAGCCTGGTGGCCCCACAAGGGGGCCGGCGGATTGTTGTTTTTGGTTGTTTGTTTGCTTGCTTGTTTGTTTGTTTGTTTGTGTGTTTGTTGATTGTTGTTTGTTGCTTGTTGTGTGTTGATAGTTGCTTGCTGCTGTTTGTTTGTTTGCTGTTTGTTTTTAGTTGTGTGTTGTTGTGGTTGGGGTTGTGCTGGTGTTTGTTTTGTGGCTGTTGTTGTTGCTGTTGATGCTGTGATTGTTGTTGTGGTTGTTTTCGTTGCCGTATTGTTGTTGTTGTTGCTGCTGCTGTTGTCGTTGAATGTTAATTAATAAACAATCATCATTCTGTGACACCTTAAGCGGCCTGGCGCTCTCGCCGAGGCGCCTGCTACATTTTCGTTGAACATGAGGCTCACGCTCGAGCGGTTTGGGGGACAGCCAAAACCGGCCCCCCAACAACAACAACGCTCCCGCTCGAGACTTCCTTCTTTTTTGCTGAGGGCTGGTGTTCTTGCTCGCCGCCGAAAACCGCCGTCCTAACAAAACCAGCGCTCCCGGTCGAGACTTCCGTTGGACTGGCGCGCTAGTTTTTCTCTCATCGGCGCCGCCCCCAGCAAAAACAACGCTCCCGCTCGAGGCCTTCTCCCTTTTTTACTCAAGGCGGTGCTCCTCCTCGCCGCCGAAAACCGCCGCCCCGACAAAACCAGAGCTCCCGCCCGAGACTTCCTTCCGTTTTACGCTGGACTGGCGCCCAACTGTCTTTTGAATTGGCGCCGCTCCCAGCAAGACCAACGCTCCCGCTCAAGGCTTCCTCCCTTTTTCTTGAATGCGGTGTTGTTCCTCGCCGCCGACAACCCCCGTCCCGACAAACCACGGCTTCCGCTCGATGCTTCCTCCCTTCTTACTCAAGGCGGTGTTCCTCCTCGCCGCCGGAAGCCGCCGTCCCAACAAAACCAATGTTCCCGCTCGAGACTTCGTTTTGTTTTACGCTGGACTGGCGCCCTACTCTCTTCAGCATTGGCGCCGCTCCCAACAATAACAGTAGCCCTGCTCTAGACTTCCACTCTTTCTATTCAGGGCCAGGTCCTTGCCTCACCGCCGACAGCCCCCATCCCCACCAAGGCAATCGTGTCGTTCGATACTTCCTTGTGCTTTACCCTTCGCTGGGGTTCCACTGGCGGTCTCGCATCGGCGTAGCAAGGCGCGGGCATGTGTTTTCGAGGTGGGATATGTTGACATTCCTCGGAGGAGGTGTTTGCAAGACCTCATTGGGCGGGTGATCTGAGAATGGGAATAACGGACTCCAGTATAGAACAATATCCCCCCCATTACGTGGATGGTCATCATGATGGTCGCATGCTTCGTGTGGAAACATCGCGCGTGAGGGTAAACTGATTGCTGTTGTTGTTGTTGTTGTTGTTGTTGTTGATGTTGTTGTTGTTGATGTTGTTGTTGTTCTGATGTCCTCTCATTAAGGAAGAATAACTATGATTGATTCCCCCCTCCGGCGACCATGGTGTTTTTCAATTGAAGTGTTTCCCCTGGGGCTCGCACCCTGCTTTTTTTTATCTGGGCTGGTCACTCGGCTCAAACTGCGTTGTTGGCCCCAGGATAGCAACAACAACAACAACAAAAACAATAACAATAACAATAACAACAACAACAATCATTTTACCCGAACGCTCAGTGTTCTCACCAGTGCCAGGGTTTTCATGCGACGCGAGACAATACCCCCACTTCGTGGGGGGGCAGTTCAAGCTCTACCAAATATCCAAACGACTCTTCGCGACCACCCAAACCCAGCTTCCCGCCCTATGACGTTGGGACACTTCACTTCGTGGCGTGCGGACGACCGTGGCTACTACACTGGCGTGGGGTACACACCCACAGAACTTGATCACTTATTCGGGGCGCGCGTGTGCCCAGCATCCTGCAATTGTGACATACAATACATGACACAGACAGACAGAGAGAGAGACAGAGAGCAGACAGAGAGAGAGACAGAGAGAGCGGAGTTGGTCACATTTTTGGGGCAAGTTCCTGAGATCGTCGTGTTTTTTGTTGGTCTTGCGCGCGCGAATGTCCACTTTACTTTTTTTTGCAAGGGAGTATTGAAATTTGATTATGTTAGAACAAGAAAAAGTAGCTCGCGCGAGCTCATGTAACATAAATGTTGAAAAACCATTGGTTTTGTGGGAGTCGGACAGCGCGCGCGGGATGAAATTTGGACATTTTTTTTTTGAAAAACCATTGGGTTTTTGATGTTTTTATGTTGAAATCGCTACGAAACCTAAGGTTCTTCTGGAAGGATTTCGTCTTGCGCGCGCGAATGTCCACTTTACCTTATTTTTTGCAAGGGATTATTGAAATTTGATTATGTTAGAACAAGAAAAAGTAGCTCGCGCGAGCTCATGTAACATAAATGTTGAAAAACCATTGGTTTTGTGGGATTCGGACAGCGCGCGCGGAAGGACATTTTGACAATTTTTTCTTAAAAAACCATGGGTTTTTTGATGTTTTTATGTTAAAATCGTTACGAAACCTAAGGTTTTGGAAGGATTTCGTCTTGCGCGCACGAATGTCCACTTTACCTTATTTTTTGCAAGGGATTCTTGAATTTGATCAAGTAAGAACAAGAATTTTCATTTTATAGTGTTTTTTGCAAGGGAAAACGAGCGTCAACAAAAAAACCGGATCCTGGTATAATCCACTTTTCTGAAGCTTTCGCTAGAAAATGAAGGAAATGAGGCTGCGGCCTAGGTTTTGGAGGGGGGTCGTGCACCAGGGGTCAACAACAATATTTCAACAACAACAACAACAACAACAATTACTAGCACGTGGGGACACTCCGTTCTCACCAGTGCCAGGGTTTTCATAGGAGGCGGGCAATACCCCCACTTTGTGGGGGGGCCGGTTCAAGCTCTACCAAATTTCCAAACGACTCTTCGCCACCACCCACACCCAGCTTCCCGCCCTATGACGTTCGGACACTTCACTTCGTGGCATGCGGACGACCGTGGCTACTATTCAGGGCCCCGCGGCCGACGACGACGGCGTGCGCGCGCGAAGAAAAAACGAATGTGTCCCGCATGGTATTATTTGACAGGGATGATGGCCCTGGCAGGTGCGCAACCGTTGTTGCAGAAGTTCGAAAAAGTTGCTCGCAAAAGCCCGTTTGACAGAAATGATTAAAAAGTGTTGGGTTTCCTGCGAATCCGCAAGAGCGCGCGGGATGAAATTTTGACATTTTTTTTTTTTTTTTTTTTTTTTTTTTTGAAAAACCATTAGTTTTTTTTTTTTTTTTTGATGTTTTGATGTTAAAATCGTTACGAAAACTAAGGTTTTGGAAGGATTTCGTCTTGCGCGCGCGAATGTCCACTTTACCTTGCTTTGGTAAGGGGTTCTTGAAGTTTGGTTATGTTAGAACAAGAAATGTCCACTTTAGCTGATTTTTTGCAAGGGAAAACCGATCGTAACAACTCAACCGGATCCGGACCAACCCGTTTTGCCTGAGACCTCCTCACGAAAATGATGAAAATGAGGCTGCGGCCTAGGCGCGGCGGGGGGGTCGTGCACCAGGGGCCCCCACAATAATTATTCTTTAGAAGTAATAATGCTCAACAACAAAAACAACAACGGCTCCCGCTTGAGACTTTCTCACAACTTGGCCAGGACCCCCGCTCCCGCCTGAGACCTCCTCGCATCTCACTCAGGAGTCGCGCTCTCGGTTGGGACTTCCTTACAATTTACTGAGGATTCGCCTTCTCGGCGCTCTGGAGTCGCGCTCTCGCTGGAGACTTGCTGGCGATTTGACAAAGATTCGCTTTCTTTCGTTGGAACTCCCCGCAATTGACTCAAGCGCCGCGCTCCCGACACTCAAGCGCACAGGAGTCGCGCTCACGCTTGCTTAGGAATCGGGATCTCGCTGCACTTCGTGGCCCCGTTGCAGCCCTTTTTGGCCCCCTCGCTGCCCTCCGTGGCCCCGTTGCAGCCCTTTGTGGCCCCCTCGCTGCCCTTCGTGGATCCGGTGCAGCCCTTCGTGGCCCCCTCGCTGCCC